TGTCTTAATTACTAATACTTTTATACCTATAATGTAAAACCTAATTACGAATAGGTTCTGTTTGTTTTTATTAACAAAATGGTAAAATAAATGATTCAAGTGATAATATAAAACATTTTAAATAAACGATTTAATTTAAATATACCTCATCTTCCTTGTCATATATTATGTATTGTAAGATACTAAGGTGCTCAATGTTTATATTTGTTATTACTTACATTATGCAGCAATGAAATGTTTATAGAATATAATTATAAAGCGTAATAACGAAACTATGAAAGCCGAAAGGTAACAATAAGAGAATCGGAAATGGGCATCTACTTCAATGATCACGATTTCAAGTCGTGACGGTAAATTATTACAGCAAAAGCGTCCGCCAACAGTATTGCATCCGGATAATTCAGTTACATTTTATTTATAAAATAGAATACCTATTATATTCAATCTTTGTTATTATTTAATAATTAAAAACTTATAGAGAATATACTATAAATATCATATTACAAACGTCAAAAACACGAAAGTTTTATGAAATCGAACGAGAGAGAGAGAGAGAGAGAGAGAGAGAGAGAGAGAGAAATTGCCCGATTGCAGTAAAAGTAAATTGTTTGACTCGTTGACCAGAAAATTGAAATTTAAAGTACGAAATAAATACTATTTAGTATTATTTTACAACATTAGCAGAGTTACAAATAAAATTACTACAGCAGTATTGTATGGGAGCTGGGAGTATACAATAACAATGGGAACTTTTACACCTTTAATTAAGAATTCTCACCAAACCTACACTATTGGCTTCGCACTCAGAGGGCATCCGTGAGACCAACGCACATTAAACAATACTATTTGCACACTAGATGAACATTGTGTATAAAATTGATTATAAGAATAATTTTAATTTTATTATTACAATTGACGCTGTAATAGTTTATAGCTGTTAATTTACTATTAAGTGTGAAAAAATCTTGGTTATGATTTTTATTCAAAAAAACCTTTCCCAATAAACCCTTAGTGATAAAATAAAATATAATACATAAGTATCTCTTACTACATACATAGTGGTGTGGAGGGGGATGCCATGGCAATATATTACTATATATTTGACCTAAGGGACAAAGACAAACTAGCATCTTATGGCAAGAATTTTGATGGAGCACTAATGCACTTAATTAAGCTTTAAAAATAATTTAATTAATTAACTTTTCTTTAAAAACGTCAATGTCATTTAAAAAAAAAAAAAAAAATAGAATTACTAGGTCACGTTATTCCACAAGATGGTATTAAACCACTAAACACCAATATTAAAAAAAACCTGCTTAAAATGCATCAAACTCTTATAATAGGTACTAACTGAAAGAACACTTAACATCCCAACCTTTGCTTAAACATTTTGATGACAGTAAAAATGTATTCTTAACAACCGACTCATCACTTAGCAAATTTGAAGCCAACTTTCTTCAGATATTCGATTTGTGTATAAGTTTCTCACTATTATAGTGTACTCGGTCATACAACTTTCTAAGAATTGGTTATTTCCGTCCTGTTTGTCGGTAAGTTTCCTTGATTTATTAAGTAGGTACTTAGAAATTTAATATAACGCCAATATAACAATTATTATTGCCATTTCATAGTATATACTATATTTTAATGAAGGTACAATTTTTTTTTATACTAGGTGTCTAATTTATATTTTGCACCAATTATACATACATATTATGATTTACTCAGCCAAAGATTATACATAAAATGGAAATCGTTACTATTCTACATGAACACAGATGGGAACATATTCAGCTCAACTTAATAAAATACATTTATCAAACGGGAACCTCTTCTGTTACTCTCCCTAAAAATGACAATGACAACCTTACTATTGACTTAACAAATATAAAAAAATTAACAAATTAATGATCAATTGTGCTCACAAATTTTACAAGCAATTAATAATAATTAAATCGATCAAATACCAATAAATGTTCAAAAGAAATCGAGACAGTTCATAATATCAAACAATTTATTTCATTATAAACAATATAAAGTATAAACACAACAAATCACCAAACATTATCATTACCCGGTAGTATTTTTTGACAATCTTTAACAGAAAAAGTCTTAAAATCAAATCATGAATCACCTATCGGTGGCCAAACGGAAATAACACAAACCCTTAACAAAATACAAAAAAAAATATTACTGGGCCACTTTATTCATTATATTCAATTTTGTCACAATTGTCAAATAAATAAGAAAAATAAAATGAAAAACCTATTGACCAATTACAACCAATAGTCATACCTTTTTCAGAAAACCTTTAGATAGGATGAACTTTCGACTATTTAGGACCATTTATAAACAGTAATAATAAAAAATATGTTTCGTTAGCAGTCTGTTTAGAACACCAAATTCATATTTACTAAAGATGTAGAAACAGCAACTGTCTAATCAACTATTACTTTTAATATTCAAATTTCAAATAATATCGCAATGGGGTTGTTTCCACCAGTTTTCATCCGATAGAGGTATACGTTTTAAAAAACAAATGTTAAGGGAATTATATGGAAATGTAGGAATAAAACAAATATTATCAGGTAGATATTTCTCACAAACACAAGGATTTGTCGAAAAAATAAACTATGAATTATGCAACTCCATTAAAAATTATATATTGATGAAAACAATCAATCGAGATTCGAGATGGTTTTACTATTTAATATACGTTACCTTGAGTTACTCCACAAACTAGTACAAAATATAGTATTTCTTATCTAATACACGGATTTGAACCTTACATTCCAATTGATAATAAAATAATTCCAACCAATAAATTTCTTATGACATAAAAAAAATCACTAATAGAGCTAAACAGGCTAAGAGACAAAATTCCGAATTTAATAAAAATTGCTCGACTAGCAAAAAAAAATATTACGATAAAAAGCATCGCTTATTCACATTTAAACCAGGAGATTCTGTATTAATCGAATTCCCAATTAATACAGTAAGCAAATCTCCCAAAACTAGACTTTTATTATGAAGGACCATTCAAAATACTCAATTGACAAAATATAATACCTAAATTATAAAGTCCAACTAACATTAAACAATAAAATAACAAACCAGTGGCTTGGTATAACGCTGTGTCTACATTCAATTGCGTAAGCGCTCTGAGTGTATGGCACAGGCTGGTCGCTGGTGTTATTAGTTCCTGGATGGATAACCATTAACCACCCTGGATTTTTAGAAACAAATCCTTTCCACACAAACACAACACGTATTCAAACCAACCATACCCCCATAAAATAGTTGTAAGTAGGTACAAAAATAGCTTAGAAGTTAATCACTAAAACTTCTAATAAAAAAAAACACAACAATTTTATTACACAATGAAGTGATAAGGAAACAATGTGATATAAAAGGAACAAAACGATTAATTAAAATTATAATTAGCCACATAAAGTCTATACAAATTTGCATATACTAAATTGGTGAAGAAATCATCGCAATAAAATCAGGTGAAATAATATAGGCACTTAATCAAATGTAAAACAGTCGATGTACAATATGCACAAAAAACTGCACAATAGAATGAACCACTCAGTTACGCATGACAACAAACATATCTAAGGTAGTACTACAGAGTACAGAAACCTCTTAAACTATTACAACTCACAAGAAATTCAGACTACCCAAAAATGTATTGCCTGTAATATATGTGATATTCATATTATGTAGACCAAGAACTATGTTTATAAAGCTCGATTGGTGGCAGTATAATATCAAAAATAATAGAAGACGGATTATACAAAATGGGAAGATAGTCTACATTTCAAGACCTTTCAATTTTTTGTCTGAAGACCAATATCATATCAATAAAAACGAGTATTAATATAACCATCATAGTATAAGAAACAAGTAGTATGCTCAACACGAACAGTGTTTTCGTTCTATTTCATGCGTGTGCATCGCCTTGCGTTTTTGTGCGTACTGCATTACATAAGATAAAAATAAAAGTATACGTGTGACGCCACCTTGGGTTTATTATTGGTTGCATATATAAATTATGCATTGCCCCTTAAAAATTATGCGCAGTCTTATCATTGTGCATATTTCTTATTTTCTTATTCCTTATACCTTGAACCTAACTCATGGCAGTAATATTCTCCAGTACAACACGCTATATTATGCACCATGAAGATTAGAGATATCTCTAATCTTCATGTTATGCACAATTTACACAAAAAAGATGGCATAATAAAAAAGAGCAACGCTATCTTGTGTCCAATATCCAAACAACAAAAAAAACAGATGAAATAAAAACATCACGGACAATGCCTGTCTAAAAATGTGTGTATAAACGGTCACCAATGCTTGTAACAAATGGATAAATTAACCCTCTTTAATATCTTGTATACACTAGTACACTACCTACTTCATGAGCATGTCTATGCGGGAGGCAGGTGGGCAAAATGCCTCCCCAGTGACTTATTGGAGGATTATACCAGCGTTTAACCAAGCGAGTTGAATATTTTAAGATGTACCAACAATTTACAATTTTAAAATATTAATAACTACCTTCAAAATTAAAATATAAAAAAAGCCTTTTTTAAATATATTTGAATATGTAATCGGAATATTTTAATACTAATTTATTCGAATAAGTATTCTGAATACCCACAAAATAAAACTAGGTATAAAACTATAAACGTATTCTTAACAAGACTATCCACTATATAAACTACATAATAGAAATATAGTACTACTCATGTCTCATTACTTGTAACGATCAATTGTTTTTAATACCTTTAAGTTATAACTTAACTAAAAAGGAATACTAGTTTAACAATAATAATAAATTAATAACTAATAAATAATCTTAGTTCGTACTGTTCGTAGTAAATTTAAAAAAAGATACCTATTGTAGTTGCTGATTACTGATAACGGAGATATCAAATAATTTAAAAATTACAAAACATGTTGTCCTGATAATCGTTATCAATCATTACAATAATGATAATAATCTCACAATCATGAGACAAACAGAAACGATGTTTGAACTTTCGAATTAATTATACTCATTTCATAGAGGCTTTTTTTCATTCAGTTATCTTTAGTTTTTTTTTTGCTTGATTTTGTATTGACACGATGCCGGTGTCTGAATATTCCAAGGACTCTGACCGAACCACAGATGTACAGACACACGATCAGGCGCCATTCGACGCCATCATAACGGGACATCCGCTTATATTGAAAGGTTTATCTGATTGTGGATTTATAAATGCTTCTCCAATACAAGTTGCCGCTCTACCGACAATCATCGCAGGACATGGTAATTACTAATTTGTACAAATTATTTTCATTTTACCTCTTACCTACATCAAAAAACCACATTTCCTACATGATATATAATTTTTATTTATAGACACAATTGTTGAGGCAAAAAATGGAACAGGAAAGACATTAACTTTTGTTATACCGACTTTGATTAGATTGAAATTAGAACAGGTTCATTTACAAACTATTATTTTGGCACCAACACGAGAAATCGCTGTCCAAATACAACAGTGTTTCAAAAAAGTCGGACAGCACTTGCCAGGTAAATACACAAAACTTAATTTTCTCCAAACTTAACTATATGACATTCACTAGGTTAAACCTTCCCAACTTATATTATCTAAATAAAGATGTATTTATTATTTAGGTATCTGAAGTTGTTAAACAAAATTTGGTTTACATTAGTATCTTTATGGTTATACAATTGAGTTACAAAATCTAAATTAAACTTATCTGTTTGCAAAATTTAGAACTGAAATGTGAATATTTCATTGGTGGTACTCCAGTTGATGTTGACAAACAGAAGGCAAAATGCTGTCAAATAGCTGTCGGTTCCCCCGGTCGCATCAAACATCTCATCAATGAGCATGTGTTAAAATGTTCAGAAGTAAAAAGCTTTATTCTTGATGAAGTTGATAGACTATTTATGGACAAAAGTTTTACAAAAGAAGTCCGGTAATATTATTAATATTGACATTTATAAAAAATTAAATAAATAAATATTGTTCCTACAACCTACTGAAAACTTTATTTATACTTAGGAGTAAATATTTTTGTGTATCCAAATTGTCCATACTTACTTAAATGTATAAGCCAGTACTTATTCACAGTAGATATTAAAACAAATAATTAATACAACATTTTTTGCATTATTGTTTAATATTTAAAAGTTATACTACCCATTTTTATACATTTTATTGATTATTTCTTCATTTTTATATAGTTATTTCAAATTTTAATTTAATTTTATAAAATGGAATATAAACTATAAAAACTATACAGGCTAACTTAGAAGATGAAGTCTAACAATAATTTTGTCATAGATTATTTTAATGATCAGTAAAAATTGGTTATTATAAAATGCTATGTACTACACAAATGTTTTCATTGTAACCAATCCTTTATATAGTAGATATTATAAGTAATTTATAAACATATATATATATATTTAAAATAATACCGAAATTGATTACTTTTGATCATAAAATTGTTGGTAAAAATATGTTTATAAATAGATAAAAAAAAATTATGTTTATTTTTTTAAATTTATAATCAATAGAAATATATATTTTTTTCCAGACTAATTGATGCTAAGCTTCCAAAATTAAAGCAAACAATTGTTGTAAGTGCATCAATTGATAAAAACGATATGTCTGTCTTTGATGAGTTCATGAAAGAGTATGTTATGGTTAAGGGAGCAGAAGAAGATATGAATGCATTGCAAGACCCATCAAAGTTCCTATTAGGTATTAAGCAATATGTAGCATGTGTTAAAGCAGTCAGTACTAATATAATATTATTACCTGCAAAAAATGTGCGATTACTCAATATACTACAAAATTTGCCGTATACTCAATGTATCATATTTACTAACTACATGACAAGGTACTGTCATTGATAAAACAAATTAGACAAAAAATAATGTGTACTAATTTTGTTCATTATAATTGTACAGAGTTGAAGCTGTTTGTAATATGCTACGTGACCATAAATACAAAGCTGATTACATTAGAGGTGATCAAGATCAAAGTATTCGATTGGAGTTAGTAGATCGATTAACATCTTTTAAATCAAAAATACTTGTTGCCACGGATTTGATTGCTAGAGGAATAGATTCGTCAAATGTAGACCTGGTGATTAATATGGATTGTCCTAATGACTGGGCTACGTATCTACACAGAATTGGTCGAGCTGGAAGATTTGGAAACAAAGGTTGGATAATAGTTTTTATAATTCTGAATTTACAAAAAAAACTGAAATGTTCTTTTTTAGGAAATGCTTTTACAATATTGGATGATGACAAAGAGTTGAAAACTTTTAAAAATATTATTAACAGTATTGAAAATGTTAAGGTCAAAATGTTACCAATCGCGATTACAAAACCTATACTTGAATATGCAGACAACGAGCTTGAAGACCTCAATTTAACAACCGAACCTAAAATTTTACCATTCCAAGAGATTGATAATAACACAACAAAAGAAAATGGAAATGATGTGATTGGAGAAAACTTAAAAAAAGATAGTGAAAGTAAGATAATATTTTAAATAATCGATAAACATTATAAAAATTTTTTATTTTTTTTATTATTTAAGGTGATTCTAACTTTAGTCCTAACAACATTGAATCAAATACCAACATTATGTCTGAAGAATGTGAACCATGTTGTGAAATAAAATCTGTTTATGCATATGGTGAATCTGAAAAGGAGTCACTACAAAAGCTATGTAAAGTTGTTCAAGAAACTGAAAAAAAACTCATTGAAGATAATATGGTTGACAAAAGACTTTTAACTGATGACAGATCTTTTGTGTTATTTGATCCAGAACCCTTTCTTGAAAACACTGATCAATATCCAGAATATAGTCCCGATGATCTATTAGAAATCATAACAAAATATGATTCAGATTTTGAGAAATATGAAGCTGATAAAAAACGAATGTTAAAAACAACTGTTAGTGAAAATAACCTCTCTAATATTAATCAAGTGTGTGAAGAAAATGATTTATCAGATTTGTCCAATGCTACTGATAATAAAACAAACAATATAAATACAGATCTGCAATTACAGAACCAACATGAAGATCAAATTAATTGTGTAGACAATATGCAGATTGTTAATGAAGTATGTCCTGAAAGCAGCTTATCAAATGAATCAAACAACATTGTTGATGACACTAAAATTGATACAAATAATAGTCAAAGACTGCGATTCACCGATATATATAGTTTATTTGAAATACCAGATTTTAGCCTTTTAAAGCCAACACAGCATGATAGTGAAGTTATTGCTCACTCAACAAATGCAGGAGAAACTGATGTGTCAACAATGATGTGCGAAAAAGCTAGTGAAGGTGAAGAATTGTCAGAAGATGAATCTTGTGATGAAGAACAATCTTACGATGGAGAAGAATCTTACAATGAAGAAGAGTGCTGTGATGAAGAAGAGGGAGAAGAAGAAGAATACTATGATGAAGAAGAATGCTGTGACGAAGAAGAATACTGTGATGCAGAAGAATCCTGTGAAGAAGAAGAATACCATGTTAAGCAAGAAAATTGCAATGAAGAACATAGTGATGGTAAAAAAGAATATGAGGATAGATTTGAGGATGAAAATCAAGAAAAAGAAAATGAGGAAGAAATTAATTTAGAAGTACAATTTAAGGAAAAAATGAAATTAGATGCAGAAAATAAAAGATTTGATAAAAATATTACAAATACGAATTGCTCTTATGATGATCATCTTGACAACCATGGAATATATTTTGTGAAACACAACAATAAATCTATACAAAAACCACTTTGCAACAATATCCAAGAATATTATATACCTAAAAGAGAAGAAGAAAATATTGATAACAATGATCAACAAATAGTGGATTATGAAATTTTAAATGACTGGTATGGCCAGTGGAAACAACAAATGAATCGCATACAAACATTTGTCAGGATGAGTAAGTGATCATCTAGTGTGAAAAGCTATAAGTTTAAGAGAACTGAATGATTATTTTGCTTAGAAACTTAAGTCTGTTCTTTAATATTTAGTTTTTTATGTTTTGGTGAACAATGATAATCACCGATTTTATATTTTTCTGTAATAATTTATGAATTATGGGTGTAGTTTTCTTTTTATAGACAATAAAACACCACAAAATGTATTTTAATTATTATATTATTATTTTCTTAATTGTTATGATAAACATTTATCAGTCGTAATAACTACTAATAATAGTATTATAAATACCTACAAGTAATAATAATGATATCATATTAAGGGTATTATAATAATATCACGATACGTTTTATACATTATATTTATATACATATAGAGAGCGAGAGGTAAAAAAAAAGAGAGACACGATTTTCTCGATCGACTTGAGATCACGACGCGAATCGCCGTTTTTGTTCGTTTACAATCAAAAAAATGATAAACAATAGTGTGCCAAGTACTATATTATTGTTGAAATAGTAATTAACATTTAACGTAATAAATATATTAAACTCGAGGCCGCGGCGCCGACACCGAAGCGGGCTGCTGCGGCGGCGGCCGTGCAGTCGCGGCAATCGACTCATTGCGCAGCCTTCTGGCGGCGAATTCGTACACCGCGTCCCGGTTCCTGTAGATGATGTTGGCGAACTGGTCCACGTTGCCGTACGTCTCGAACCTGGTGTTGGCGCACATCCGGGCTTTGGGCTCTGGCAATCCGGCGTCGCACTCGACCGGGTGGTAGACGTGCACCAGATCCGGGTCGGCGGCACGAAACACAGACGCCGCGGTTCGCGACCGCACAAACTTCTCGTACAGGTCCACGTCCTCGTTGCCCCAGCCCCTGATGGAAGTGTCTAGCCCGCCGGCTGCCGCGAGGTCCGTAGCGTATGCGCTGACGATGCCGAACCCGTACTGCCGCCAATATCCGGTGTCCTGGTTGACCAGGAAGTGGTTCGGGGACCCGGCCGCCCGGCCGTACACCACCACGGGATCGTATTCGCTGTACACGATCGGGAAGTACGCGGTGTGGCCGCGAACAGTGTTCAGCCGAACGCGGTCCAGTGTCGCGGCAGTCCACAGCATGTCCACGTCCACGAAGAACAGTAGGTCGTCCGGCGGCGGACCGGCCGCGTGGACGGCGCCCGCGTGCAGCGCGGCCGCCCGGGCGAACGGGACACCGGGGTCCGGCAGCACGGTGAGCCGGGCGTCCGGGTGACGGCCCGCGAGCTGTGCCACCGCGGCGGCCGCCCCGTCCGCTGTGGCCTGCCCGAACGGGACCACTGTCAGCGTGACGCGTTCGCCGTTCGCCAGGCACACCGACTCGTAGTTGTCTACGAACCGGGCAAACGTGGCCAGCCGGTTGAACAGCGGCAGCACGAAGTGCACCGTCTTGGCTCGGCTGTCCGCCCGACGCTTAGCCGGCGGCCCATCCTGCACCCGGACCATCCCGTTGTCCGCAATGTCCCTGGACGGACTTCCCGCCGCGTCGTCGTCGTCGTTGTCGTACGCTTCGGCGTCCTGTTGCTGCGTAATGAGCTTCACTTCCGACCCGTCAAGTACTTCGCGCACTTCGAAACCTGTAATGGCCGAGAATCATATGGATAAGTATATACTATATATATATAGGTATTCAATATTATTTTTGTTACATAACATGCACTCTATGCGAAGTCAATGCGATAAAACTCGGTAGTCCCGTGTATTTCAACTGGATAGCCTATGTGAGTTGTGCCATAACATGGACAATTGTTTTGCGATATCGCACAAAGTAACTTCTCGAGTCTGGACATTAAGCGTATTATTAGTCTGAGACATCTATAGGATTTAAACTTGAACGTCTCACTGCCTAATGAGATATCTATGTGAAGTATCGAAGATTATATTTTGCACAAAGTCTATGTTTAATACTTGGAAATACAATTAGGATAAAATATCGTTTAATAATAATGTGAAATTATGAACAACTAAAATAATATTTTAAACATTTTGCAGTGTCTTGTATTATATTGGAAATAATTTAGTGCTTAAAGATTTTTCGGGATTATTCAATTTGATTACTTCTCCTAAGTGTTATAGGTTAGTTACATTTACCATACTTTCAAGTTCCGGACATCCCCAATGGTCAGAATAAAAAACGGGCAATATCATGACATATGAATAGTGAATACCGCGGTTAATAGTATAGTCGTATTATAGAGGTATACATTTCGGTGACAGTCATAATATGATCACAAATATTGTATATCTTGCAGTTCAAATAAAATATCCAAAAAAATGTAAGATATAGTGTAACGTCCCCTCTTTACCTATCGCTAGATCTTACTCGCGACCTGTGTCGATCTGTTTATTTTTACGAGGTCTCGGGGACTCGACCTCGGTGTGTGATATTATTGTTAGGGATCAGGGTTACCTTATGTGAAGCAAAGTACACAATGTATATATATAATGTATTGGTTATGCACAACTATTAAGAGGACGCCACACCCGCATGTGTTGTCTCCGTCTTACAAACGCTTAACATACCAAATTTACGCTCAGCAGTTCACGTTTTATGCCTTTAGCTTAAAAATTAGAGTAAATCGACCTATTATGAAACTTGATGATAAGAACTTTATCTGTGTTTTGTTGGAAGTTTTTTTACGACAATTCAGTTTTTAAGCGAGGTATGCTTGTATAATAAATGTGAATTAAAAATGCTCATAACTCACTTAAAAACTGAATTATTGTAAAAAAACTTCCAACAAAACATAGATATAGTTCTTAACATAAAGTTTCATAATAGGTCGATTCACTCTAATTTTTAAGCTAACGGCATAAAACTTGAACTGCTGAGCAAATTTGGTATGTTACTCGTTTGTAAGACTGCGACAATACATGCGGGTGTGGCGTCCTCTTAATGTATAAATGTAATATATTCCTGTTTACCTATTAGGAGTATTAGGCGTATTAAACTGTAACAGAGGGTTACCGATCGGTACAATCGTTAAAATAGCTTCTAAATTATTACTGCGAAATGCCGCTATTTTAGTTTCACTATAATAGAATATCATATTATCCTCCTTACCGGTAAACTGCTGTTGGAGGTATGCGTGCCGCCGCACTGGAACGGTCATCTTTTTTCCCCTGTATTTCTTGTACATCAGTAACATGTCTAACATGTAATCCACTCCAAACAATGGATTCACCCTCTGGTAACCATAAAATATTTCTTTAAAATCGATCACCCGACCGCGCTGCTTGGAAAATTTATTTATCAGATCCATCACCTGCAGAATACAATATAATATAATACATAGGTAGGTACATACAAATGTAATATTAATATAGGCAGTATATGCCTTATTTGGTTTTAATGTGTTATAATAAAAACAATTAAATACATTGGTCAGAAGTATTTTATTTTGTATCCAGCCCAAAAACATGTTTAAAAAAATGTTCAATCTTGTTCGATAATCTATTTAGTATAGATTTTGTCTTATATTATTTTTGTAAAATTACATGCGGTATTTATTAGGTATATATTATTTGACCTTATTAGTATTTTTCCAGAATTCTTAAACGCAGAACTATAAATTTGTGTATTATATAGATTATACCTATGTTTTATGTATATTTGGACACTTAAAAAAATTGTATGAACAGAATGATCCGATATGCTGCAATTGTTTGTCATTTTTCAGCAGTCGTATTATCATAGGTGCAAAAAATGATAAGTTATAAGGTAAGTAACCTTCATAAAAACACTTCGGTAGATTCAGAAATCCAATTCCATTAACCAGTTCACTACCGTTCCTACGGGACACTATATACATATAGATCAAGGCTGGCCAACAGGGAGATCTCCCTTTCGTTTCTCATTGAGATTTTTTTGAAAAACAGTAAGTAAAACATTTTTTAATAATTTATTATTCTTTGTTTAGCCTACGAATGTAAAAATGAATTACAATGGCACAATTCAATTTAAGTTGCAAATAATATTATTGATTTTGTTTGGCAAAAAAAAAACTATGAAAAACGAAATTATACATTCAGAATGAGTGACCATATGAACATTTTACGTAATCCGATAGATATCAACCCGACCATATGACTATCCTATTAACGAAATGAATATTATGAATATATTAAACTATTTGATGTGTACAACTATAAAGTGTTATTTAAATAAAAAGTATAGCACGCATGTCGCATATATAAATATATATATTACAACATGCAAATCATTTTTCTTATCATTAATTAATAAATCGATCGATTATATTATTTAGTGTTGCCATAGCCATACATCCCGGTTTGACAGGGACTGTACTGGTTTTAAATATTATAGTGTCCCCTTGTTTTGGACGATGTATTGTTTTCCAGGAATAGTCAATTACTATTGATAAATATTTTAATTGTTTTTCTGTTCTCCTTGACAATTTTTGTTACTACTTATCAATCACTAATTGATTTATGTATTAATTTGTTTGCAATTTGTTGGCTACTCATTCCAATTTGTAATGTTGAGTTGATTTTTGCCTTGCAAACGCATGTCAATGAGTGCTGCCCATTGTGAGTCGTTTTCTATAGTTACGAAAAAATGGTGTGTTAAATGTTAAGACTGTTGACTAACCGTGGAACGTGGTACAATTTTTCCCATAAACATTTAAAAAAAAAGTTTATCCCGGTTTAAGTGAAATAAAATACTAATCACAAGTCTATTAAAGTAGGCCACCTCTGATATACCTACTGCCAAACAGGTGGATAATGTAGGTAGATACATAGAGATTATTGAGTTTCGAAAACAATGATACCTAGTTAGTCCGTTTATTCATTCATGGTGAGTATGTACACAGATATTCTCAAATAAACTTATATTTCATTATAATATTGTATTATACGAATATATAGATACCTCCCGGACGACGTCATCGAGTCCTTCTTTCGTGTACGAGTCGATCCGACGCCTGGGATTCGCATCCGTGTCCGAGTACCAAGCCTTCGATATGAAGTCCCATTTGATGACGTCCGCCACCTTGCGCGGCCTATACTTGTTCAGGCCCGGCGGAAGTCCTACACGTCATATGATTATATGATTATAATTTATAATACACGAACGATACGGTTTTAGCCGGTTCCGCATGACATATAAGCGGAACTGTAATATAATACAATATTGTTTATAGTTACCCAACAGATCTGGGTCGCCCAAGTAATTCGGACTTCCCGGCCGGGACGCGAACAGTTGTTTCGAGTCGCCGGTCAGCCGGAACTCGTTGGACGGTCGCGGGTGCTCGCTGTTCAGTTGATCGATCATGGATCGTACGTCCCGGTGCAACAGGATCTTCTTCTGGTGTATTTCCTGTAGCTCGAGACCCTGCAGCATCGTGAAAAAGGTCACGAAACAAATCAGTACAGTCGACGCGAACGACAAAAAACTATTGAATAAAAAATGCTCGACGTTGCGCCATATACCTTCATGTAGTTGTGTATCCTATACATGTGAGTGTGCTGTTTGACAGGATGGAGAGTAATTGCTCGGTGCACTTCTTTCTGTTTCAAATTTCCAGTGAACGCATCGCGGCCACTGGAGTTGTGGTACAAAATAGTTTGCATCTAAAAATAAAATACCAAAAATAAATAACAATCATTAAGTATTATTATAGTGGCTTTAAATGAATGTCAACGGGGTATGGTTACATAACTATTTATAAAGGGGTGTTTAGGGCTTGGTAGCGCTTGAGCACGAGGTACGAGTTACAACAAATAGATGAATACAGCTAACAAAATATATTATTATACTCTTTAGACTTATGGTATTAAAAATAATAATTATAATAATAATATAGTTTGATCATTCCATAATTGTATATTTGTATATGGCCCGTTAATTGATCGAAACAATAATGATCCCACAATGCAATTGGACAAACATTTTTGATAGAAAAAAATCAAGTTCAATTATATAAAAAACACTGATTTACTTCGGTTATTACTTATCTTAGATATCTGTATCTAATGAGCTAGCGAACTCAATGACAACTCTCAACCCAAAATATTAATGTTGAATAATATTTAAATATAATTTTATTATTATATGCAATTTCATGGAGATATAATTCTTAATTTCCAATTTATTGTATCCAAAGACATTTTTTTTTAATATTCTTTATAAAACAGTTCCAAATTTAATTTCATATTTTTTTCTCTTACCTCATCAATCGTATTACCTTTTAATTTGAAATAATCATATAAAAATTACTCAGATATTTCTTCATTTTCTGTGGGTATAGTAATTAGTGATTACTTTCAATCAAAACATTATATAAAATGTAATAAAATTTTCTTTAGGTACCGAAGCTAGTTATAATTTGCAATAAAAAGTCGGGATTTTATATGCATGCCGAATTTCGAATATGGTGCCATATACATTATCATATTATACAGGTATCGTATGTGCCAACCTATGAAAAGGGCAACCATTTATTTATGTAGGTACTGAAAAAATTCCGATTGAATGTCATTGTGGTAGCACGTTGCTTAAAATGGACCATCGTGCTTCTTGGACATACAATTGGTTTCAACAACTTTAAGGTTTCAAACATTCTACAATAAGTATATGCTTCAATTTTCGCTGCGGTTGGAAAATGATTATTATGTGCGGTAAGGCACACTTGCTTCAGACACCAGTTCGACGTGAGCCGGTCGTATAATACCATAATATGCTCTAAACTTACGAATAAATTCCTCTACAAAAGATATTTTACAAAGCGTTCACATCATTACGTCAGTGAACGAAAACATTTCAGTAATAAACGTTATAGTTTTCTAGTAATTTTTAATAATTTGTTTCGAGTATAACGTTCAATAATCTTTTTTCGATCAATAAATTGTCATGTGCGATCGGAGGTTTTTCGATCAATTAGTCTGATCATTATAGACTACGTGCGTCGCATGATCATTTGTTTTCGATCAACAGCGGTAAACTATTGCTAAGATGTGCACACAAACACAAGTCCGCCTTTATGATATAAATCATGATTCTCGTATTTATATTATTTTTATCTTTGAGTCAGCCGGGCTAGTTCTTTATATCCCCAGTGCTCATAAGTCATAATATGCATAAGTTATAATTACAATTTGCCTTGTTACGACTTATGAGAATAACTCGTATATAATTTACATAAAGATATAGCTGATCCCCATAATATTTCAGTACTATACACTATAATATTCCTCCGCGGTGTTAATCTTATTTTCTCGAACAATAAACATTCTCACCCCGTAACTTCTGGCTTTAGCATTTGGTCGAACCCTCTCCTCTGCTGTTACATATTTCATATCCGTTTAACGTGTTCACTGTTTAATTTCACAGTGTCAAAGATGATTATCAAATATATGTCTAACTTTAACGTCGCATAATATTGTGCATTACGAATACGAGTTATTTGACTACCTATTGGTACGTTTTCAGATTACACGTGTACTTATCAATGGGCGTATATTGTTTCACTTTATCTTTCTATACTTAATAATAATTTAATATAATCGATTTTAAGCTGAATGGTATCGTGTTCAGATTGCACGCGCAGTGATAAAACTTATAATATACTCGTAATATAGATAATAGGTATTATGCAGACTGCTGTATTGCACCCGAGTGCAATAAAATTGCATTTCTTGGTTTATTGTGTTTTAAAGAACATTAATTTATTCATTAAGATTTAAGGCGACAAAAAATAAAATTAACATCTTAAAAGATTGTTCTGTGAATTATAATATTGTTTTCTAGTTACCGACGTATAACGGTTATACGTGTGAATCGTGTGGTTCTTAGTGCTGGTGGGGTGTTAAAATAATATTATTTACCTCTAACAACAATAAGACGCACATTAGATTCTTAGCCATGTAAAAAACTTGATAAATACAGCTGTATAGGTACAGTAGATGTACATTGTACAGTACATACGGGTGTTAGGTTACGTTAATCGTTACATTAACGATTAACGTAATGTACATTTATTTCTTCTGGCCCTCTTTGTATAGGTACAGAATGGCTCCAATGGCTATGCACCTATTATATTCTCCTCAAGTTCATTCACTCCAGTAAATTAATAACCATATTATTAGTTATTGGTTTTTTTTCGTTTATGTGTATAACCACATGTTTCAGTCCAATAATAATATTCTATGACTAGTAACAACTATAACTATATTATATACTATAATACTGCTACACTTACACGTCTAACGGTCTACACTTACAGTATAATTGACGTATAGTACATTAGTACCTATTCTCACGTGCGTATGATAAATAAGTAATATATAATATAATATGACTCGTTCGAGTATTAATTAACGACGTTTTTGTTATCGTATACCCACTTTAATTTGTATACGTTCATACAGTGATAATAAAATAATTTAAATCATCTACCGACGTTTTTATAATCGTTATTATTATTTTAATAAAATAAAATTGATCTGTACGCCAAATTATGATGTTCGTTGTAACACCGGCTCGTAATGTTACGTGCCTTCGTGGGTATCCGTTTACTCTTCATCATACAATGTTGCTCGACAGCTGATTTTATTTATTGTTAAAATATTTTACGGTAGAAATCGACGCACCCATTGCGGGGGTTAAAAGGGTCGAATTCCTATAATATAGGTATAGCCAAGTACACGACTATATGTAGGCATAATTCAGGTGAGGTTGTATGTATATATATTATGTGTATAATATACCTATACATAGCCGTGTAGGTAGTATCAGTGTTACGATTTTCGATCTACTTCATGGATTTATTTTTTTACAATCAAGTCGGATCTCTGAGCCGAAAATAGGTAAAAGCAACATAATAACGATCACAAACGTAGGTTACACAAGGTTTTTATACGGCCAACAGGCTAATTAAATATTATAAACTGTGTATTATTATTAACAACGCACTGCGTCACTGCATCAAATCATAATATTATATGCGTCATGAACCGAGAGGATTTACGAGCGCCCCAGCCAGAGTTAAAATATTTTACAGTGCGACCCGTCCCGACTCGACCCGATTACCGCGGGGTCTGTGGTCGAAAAATTTTCCGTTTCGCGTGCTCATAATAAAACATATAGAGGGACCTCCATATAATATTTCCAGCGCACCTATTACGGTAGAAACTAGATAGGTAGTACAGAACATACGACTCCGGCACACGTGGTACGAGCCAAAATCACGGCATTCTTCGATAATTGCGTATATTCGCGGCGCACATGACTCGGCGTAAGATTCGGGTGGGAAAAAAACCTCACACGTACGACGTACCTACGTAGGTACTATTATATTATTATATGGCCATAAGAGCGGCATGTAATTCAAAACGGTTTCTCGAGTGTCCCGAAGCGACCAGACGTTTCGCACATACCTACCGTTCTATTTCTATATATGCAATAAACGAACCTATACCTACACGTATACATAAAGCAGCGCAAGAAAAAAACAAATTCGCGACCAAATAAAAACAATAATTATGAGTGACCATAATTGGAAAACGAGTCCATTCTTGTCTGCGCTCGTCCGACAAATATAATAATATGTAAAATAATGATATTATTAAACATCCTCTAATTTAATATACAGTATATATATAGGACGTGCATTGTTATACTGAGCGTCATTTCGGATCTTTTTCTTTCCTTTTTTTTCCTCATTTGTTCGCGTATAATACACGACATATTATGGTATATACCGAGCGCGTCTGCAGATGTCCGTCGCAGTCTATACCGTCTAAACCGATTCCTCGTGTGCTATTATATAGACAAACAATTTGTTTTTTTCTTAAGGCACCGCGCGCCTCATAAAAAATCCATTAATTATCCGTGAACGAATTCGTATGCATATAATATATATATATATAGGTGTACAACTGTGAGCTGCAGTGTACACATTTCTTTTCGATTTATTATTTTTTTTTTTCGTCCCATTTCCTCCGCTGTCCGCGGTGCGGGCACAGCGGTGCTGTTCACCCTCTACACACACACACACACACACACACACACACACACACACACACACGCGCACACACACCCACAAACACCATTTCATTGGATCGGGAGGAAAAAAAAAATAATGATAAAAAACAAAAAAACCGGTCCTCCGGACTGGCAACGGTATCGCATTAGGTCCGGCGGCCTTGGCAGTTGGCCGCGTCACACACATAATATTCTCCTCGACTTACCTACGTGATCGCAGTCGTCATTGAGCCACGCACACATAGGTTAGTGACTTCCTTAACGCGCATTTTTATTTATACGCTATTATAGAGCGCGAGCACGCAGCATGCGGAATAGTTGGCACAATAATATAAAAAGGGTTCTTAATTTCGTAATTGGTCTATAAATCTAACCTTAATACGCGTGCACATATACATCATGCATAGGTACGTGTATAATAATAATAATAATAATAATAATAATATAATGTGTATGTATAAATATATATATATTAGAATATATGTCGACACGTCTTCGTGATGTTCTCGTCCGTCGCGAATAATTGTCGTAAGTCGAACGATGACCGTGACGTCCTGTTTGGTACGAGATTCGCGTTATTTTTTCATTT